AATAATACTTATAATAATAATACTTTGGCAAATACATACATACATATTACTCAGTATGGTTACATTATTACAGATATATGTTTAAAAACGCACTGGATTCATGGTGATATAGCTGAAAACAACCATTTAGGAGATAAAGAGATTTCACCCAATAAAAAAAATGTTGTTCTCAGTTTTTTTTCCATGCTCATGTGCAAATACAAGAATCAAAGCAATATTAAAGTGTGTAAATGATTACTATTTTCTTCTTCTTCTTCTTCTTCAGGAAAGCCAAAGACTCCTGTGGACGGGATGTGTGGTTGACAAACGAGACATACTGGAAGCTCAGAGAGAATCCAGGTTTTGCTAAAACTGAAAACCTGATTCTGTGGTGCTGAGACAACGGCCAGACAAAAACACGAGAGAGAGAGAGAGAAATATGAGCGGTGGATATTTGGACAGCATATATGAACCGCTTTGAGGATCGTGCAGAGTGGAGATAGTGCTGCTGATCTCTTCTTGTACCTTCTGTACGCCCATGACTGGCTCATGGGAACCAGACACCAGTCGAGTTACACAGCATCCACTAACAGGTCTCCTCGAGATCGATTTTCTAATGGATTTTAATGTTTTTTGTTTTTTTTAGATTACTTAAATCATATATGTTTATATTTTTGAGGGTTTCACAGATTTCTGCCGACAAGACTGAACTTGTGACGCACACTCTGCAGACTTTGAAATAAAAAACTCTTGTTAAAGTTTGTTTAAAATCAGGTCAGTAGAAGACCTACTATGTTAGTGTGTTAAATGTAAACATTTGATGAAATCATGTCCTCCTCTCAACCAGTTTACTGTGTTTGTATGATGAATACAATTGTTAGAGATGTATCAATGCTACAGTCAGGGCTGGATCACCAACTGGGCAAACCTGCAGGCCCCAGACCCACCAGTTAGTTTGTGGTAATTTGATTTATTGCAAATTTGTTTGGGGAATACGCACCATTAAAGCACAATAAAGATAAGAACCTTAAAGCGGCTATAATCACATTTTTATTATAAGAGTGGTATCAAATAGTATTATCGCCTGAATATTCTGTTCCCCCCGGCTTTACGGAGCTTTATAGTGAATTTCAGCTCTTTGTTTGACTGTCCGGCCCACCACTTTAATGTTTCACTATCGCTGCTCTAACCGTGTTGTTTATGATTAGCTGGTGAACATAGTGGAGCATTTAGCAGGTAGAGACCAAAACCAGAGCTGAAAGAGAGTGAATATTGGATTATTGGCCAGAAAAATGACTTCAAATTAATTAAAAACAGCATTTTTATGCTATTATCTGTCATTTTTTAGACAAAAACATTAATATTTAGTGGCCAAAATAAAAGAATAAATATATTTTCTACAAATTTAAGGTAGGTGCCGCATTAATACCTGTCTTGTCTATCTATTGTATGTTGTAAAGGAGCCCTGTGTCAAACTGTGCATGGTGCATATGCCTACATAAATTTATGTTTGAGCAAATGTTTGTTCAATCAAACTATTACAAACTATTACAAAGCATCTAGCTGCCTGTCTATAGGTGCACCTGTACTGACGTAATGCCTATGAACTATGAACAAAATCTGTGGCTTTCATATTAATAAGAACTGAGTATGATGCTGAACATGATCATCAATCACCTACTTAAAGGAGTTTTATTGATAAAGTTTAAGACAGTATCTGTCTAAATACTTTGGTCATTGCTAACATAGATCATATGATGGTGCAAACGTCATTTTAATGTTTTTTATTTTATCTTTTTGAACATGTTATTTATTATATAAAAAAAATAATTACCAACATTCAGTATATATACATATTTAAAAGAGGAGAGAGGATGTTATACTGTATTTTTATGTCATTTATGTCATTAATAGTCAAAAATATTGTCCAGCTGGTTGGAAACATACACACATACTGTATTTATACAGTACATTAAACTGTCAACATCACTACTGTGTTTTTATTTCTCACTGGTATCATTTAGTTTATTATAACTGCACTTGACTGCAGATAAATCATATAAATCATAGTCTCATATTTCAGATCAATAGCTACATTAAATAAAAGGAACACATCAAAACAGCCAGATTTAATCATTTGTAAGCTTTAATTTCATGAATAAAAAAACAACAGTACAATACACAATTATGCCACCTTTAATAAATAACAGTTTTCCCCCTTCAGACATCTTCATCTCTTGTTTGTTTATGAATTGCAATTTATAAGCTCTTAATGAAAGAGTCAAAGGAGCTGTTGCCGCTCCCTCGACATAAACAGTGCACATGGATCACACGCAAAAAATAACATGCTTGTTGCTTGACCTTGTCTGGTCATACTCCCTTCTTCACTCCTCTATTTCTATATCATACAGTGAAATCTCTGGAAATAACAGTTCTCCCAACACTCTTATTCTCTTAGCAAGGGTAAATGTGCGTTCAAGGGAAACACAGACTCATGGGAAATGGAGGTATTAGAGGTTTAACATCAGGGATTGGCTGATTGCAATGGCTGAGATATCCAGCAGGGGTCGTTCCTGAGGTGTCTGAAAGCATTTTTCTGTTGCTGTTTAATGTGAGATCTTTGCCCAATGCAGGCGCAGGATCACTGAGCGGACCACATAACAAACCACAGCACATAAAATAAATAACTGACATCGTCCACAGGCCACATAAAACTTCGCCCTCATTGTTTTTGCAATGCCATCATTAATTCTAAACTAATTTACCATCTAGTAATTGCACTTGAAACCAGAATTGTCCATTGTACACCTTCATTAAGGTACATTAAGAATCATAACCCTTTTTTCCTCAGATAGATGACAAAATGAACATTAAATAATACATCTTTTGGAAATGTTACACGAGCAACATACATATTTTTTCATCAGTTAATCATACGATATATCCATTCTGCATAAAATTAACACTTCATTAACACTTTGTTATTTAAATGTTCAGGTAAAGGACTGAGCTGTTAGACAGTTTGTCCCTTTTGCATCAACATCATTAAGACCATTTTGTCAAGTGCTGAAAAAGAGAGATCTATATGCATCATGTTTGTGATTGTCTTTAAGTTCCAGTAGCTCCAGTGTTAAAGTCCCAGTCTTTATACAGCGCTTTTATAAAATCCAATTAGCTCAGAAAAGAGCTTAAATTTTGTGTCGACATGTGAAACCTTAATAAGGCAAACAGGGCCGTAGCCCTTGCTCTGTCCAGAGGTGACAAAACCTGCCTACCAGCACCTCAAAGCTCATAAATTAACACATTATATCCTGTTTCTTGAATCTGTACAAAAACTGAAGTGTAAAAACATTTTTAGCTTTTATGAAGTTTTATGTGCAGGAGTATTTGTTCACGAGCTAGGCTAGCCGTTTCCCCCTGCCTCAAGTCTTTATGCTAAGCTACGCTAACAATATCAATGACGTCTTGTTATTCGCACTTTAATAGCTTAAAACTCATAGCATAGTAAATATACATTAGTATATACAGTATAGAGAGCTGGTGCTGTTTTCATCAGCTCATTTTGGCCTCTTTGAGAGTGCAAATTTATAAAATAAAATAAAAAAATTTAAGTAATTTCATCTCTCCCTCAGAAAAGACTTAAGTGACCCTGCACTGCACTGAGCTTGTCTGTCGCCCCCAGGGTTGTCTGAGGCCATTAGCACACCTGGTGAGGAATGAGGAGCAGACCTCTGATCAGCGCCGACTGCGGCCTCACTCTTCATTTCTGTCACTAGGCCGGGAGCCGGGCCTCTGTCAACCACTGTCACAACATGATAGGCCCGAAGACTAGGGGGGAAATTCTGTGTCTGTCTGGTCACTTTGTGCTTCCTGTTTATCGTGACAGTGCCTCGTCTGTTTTTACCTGCAGGTGCGTGTGTAGCCGTTCTGAATGACCCACTTTGTACACGTCTGCGGCGCAGTTGCTCTGCTGCTAGTGTACGGGAAGTGTTTGGGAAAACCTGCAGCGCCCACAGCAAAAGAAGGATGCAGAATTAGGGAGTCTCACACGTCTTTTCTGTAATTGAATCAAACAAGATTAAGATGTTGCAGAGCTAAAGCCACAGTGGGAAATTTACTTTTATTGAATGTAGTCTAATCTGAATACTGTAATGTGGTCAACATGTTTTAAGCTGTCACTCTTCCCTCTGCCAATATTGTTTTCCAGTTACATCATTATCGATGCTGGTATTGATCGCAGGCTTTATTTGTGTGTGGTGACAGGAGCGTTTTCACATCGACTGATTGTCGGGCCTTCGTTATAATGAGGCCTTTTTCACTCTATCAAAGCAGGTGGTTTCCAGCTGACCTTGTTTACGTCTGGTGCTAAAGTGTACAAATGATTTATATCACTTATTCACGTCTTTAAATTCCCTGAAAGCCAACGGCGTAGGAGAGGATAAGCTTTATCTAAAACAGCATTTTCCAGTGACAAACTGGTGTGACAAATGAATGTTTTTAACACACATTGGTGATGCCATTTGCTCTGCATCCACTTCTAGAGAGTACACTACGCTGACTAGTTGGTAGCACTGCTGGCTCCTGCCCCTTTCCATTGATATATCATATTTTAGGACCATAACTAGCAGTTTACAGATCTGATTCAGACCCAAAATTAGAAAAGTGAGATACTGAATAACCCCACATTTATTAATCATGTACGAGTCACATGACTTGGACTTGAAACACAAATTTGATGACTTTAAACTTGACAAAAATAAAAAAATTACAGAGTGTTACAGAACAAATTATGGCTTGTTTAGGACTTAAAACTCAAACTTTAGGACTTCGGACCAGAGTGCAAAGGCTTACTATGACTTGGTCTCACCTCTGGCTACCAGAACTGCATGTCGGATGGTCGAACAACTTTGGAAACCCCCCACACATTTCCAGTGGTGGATGAAGGGGGGGGGGTGTTGCGTCTGACAGATTCTGCAACTTTCCGAAAACCGACAACCTGACATTCACACCCACCTCACGCTGTGATTACCCAGCTGTGAGGAGGTGAGAAAGGAGCCAGGCTTTGAACTTCTCTTTCTAGCGCTCTTCTTTTTTTAAAATCTTGTCACAACTTTTTTTTGTTGTTGTCACTTTTCATATGAACACTATGAATGTCTTCCAGGAAAAACTGTTTAAAAACCTGTGCCCTTATTCCTATATTTAAACCTTACTTTTCCCTCTTTACGACAATCAGCTTTCAGTGTGTACAAACTAGTTCTTTCCAACACTAATTCTGCATTGGAGAGGTCAAAGGTCATCAACCAGGAGTCAGTGTGCAGTCAGAGAAAGATCAAGGACATTCACATTTTGATACCAGAAACCACCTTTGAACAAAGACAGCATCTCACCCCATATACGACCAAGTTCCACACTTTTAGGTGACCTGATAACAACCACTTCATCGCCATGACAACTAAACTCCATCCACTAAAGAGGGCCATGAGATTAGGCTGGAAATGTTGAGAATTTTGATTATGGATTAATCTGCTGATCATCAAATGTTGCATATTCATTTTACTAACATTTACTAACAACATTTTGTCTAATCATTGCGTCTCTAATCAAGTCATACAATTCTGTTTTTCCCACAAGTGTTAGTGAGGTTTGACTCATTTATAAATATGTGTGGATCATCAGAGACCAAAAACATTAAAATTTCTATCAAATTAACCTGCATGTTAAGTCTGTATTTTAGTCATGTAGTGCAGATCTAATCACACTACATTACAAACATATAAAGATTTGATGACGTGGTTTAAGTGTAAATTGTAATCTCATATCAAAATTCTTAGTAATTTGACTGAAAGCTTTTCTGTGTTAATTCCATCAATCTCCCTTAACGCCAGTGAGATATGTTGTCTCCAGCTGTAAGGACTTTCTATTTCCACTGTGGTTGCTGATTTACTTAAACACACAAACAGAAAAGGTTGTCCTAGCTGGGTTTAGTTAGATTACTCCAGAACATGTGCTTGCTAAACCGTCTTAACCTCCTGACATTACTTCACTCTGGCCTCCACAGCCTGCAACGCTCCTCTGCCGCCACCGGTGGGAGCTGCACTAAATGTATTGGGCCGATTGGTGAGAATACGGTGTGTGAAATGTAATTTCTGCTCAGAATCATCAGGGGAAATGAACGTGAGCATATTGTGAGAGTAAGTGTGAATGGCTGAGGGTGAGAAGGAAGAGACAGACAGAGACAAGACAGAGCCAAAGAGACAGAGAGAGTGTTTGATGCAGTAAGAACAGACAATCCCTGCAGGCGTCTGTCAGCAAGCAGATATGCAGATAATTTTTTTTACCCCCCAAATCTCCAGATGTTTCAAAGGCTTAAGTCACAGGTCTCTTTGTCTGTTTGGTGTTTATGTGACTCTAGGGCACTGTCCCAGTCACATCCACTTCTGTTCAACACTAACTTTGACAGTAACCTTGAAAGTTCCTCCTGTAATCAGTTAACACTTTGAGAGGAGACTTTATGGACTGTGTGGACTGACGTGACAGTAGATGAGGCTGCAGCAAAAACGACTGTTTGAGCGCTTTATCGTGACCTGGCTGGACTGTGTCCATGAGGGCGGTGTGGGAAGACGCTGGGAGATGCTGTGGCAATGTATGAGGTCTTCAGTGGGTGTAATAGCCATAGTAGTCTGCATCACTGTTGCTGTCCTTCTCGCAGACCTCGCCACTGCGCGGAGGTGGGGAGTTTTCCGTGCTAGATGTGTAGGGCGACACCCTCCTCTTCTTGTTGTCCCCCACGCCGCCCTCATATAGGCCTGAGTCAGCTGAGGCTGCTGATTTCACAGAGGGAGGTTCGAGCCAGGGGTCGTCTCCCACCACCTCCACAGTGTCTTTGGGCTTGTCCTGCAGCAGGGGAGGCTGCAGAGGCTCTAAGAGCGAGGGAGGGTGCAGCCTGGGGTTGCCAGGTGACGTGGAAGAAGATGAGGAGGACGAAGAGGACGACATGGGTCTAAACCAGCCCAGACTGGGGCCAGGCTTACTCGGGTGGCTGAGGTACTGAGGGGTGGGTCGGCTGGCGGTCCAGCCCGCTGAGGTGGCTCCTGATACAGACACGCTAGTAGATGCAAACGGATGGTCTGGGTAGTAGCTGAGGGCATGGTGAGCGGATGTCTGCAACGGGAAGGGCTTGTAGAAGCCATTTCCAGAGAAGTCACCCTCATAGGAGGAAGTGAAGTCAAGTCGGTTGGGGGCCACACCCTGCTGAGGGGGCAGGTACCAGCGGCTGTGAGGACCAGGGCTGGAGGACGGGTCCTTGTGCTGCTGGCCCATACCGATAGGCTCGCGGCCGTAGAAGCGGCTCTGGGGCAGGGGGCTCATGTACTGCTCTGAGAGGTAGCCTTGTGGGTAGCAGCTCCCTGGCAGCAGCTGCTGGCTCTCTGTGGGGGAGGGGGTGAGGCGATCAGAGTCGGGAGGAGCGTACAGCCTAGGCAGGAGGGAGGAGGAGGGGAAGAGAAGAGAGTGTGAGAAGAGAGAAAAAAAGAAGGTGTTATTTCCTGCCCAAACCTCAAACTATCTATCAAACATCTCACAGCCCCTCTCACACCCTTTCACTGCAGCATGCTCGAGCAGCCAGTAATTGCATCTATTCCAATATATGAGCACATATAAGTACCAGCAATGATTCAGTCTCACATTTCATGGTCAGCCATGAAGTTAAAACTGTGCAAGTGCTGTCTCCCTAAAACCAGATTTACTGTTGTTTTCTCTTTACAAACACATATTTTTTTTAATAGATTACTTACGCGTCGTAATTGTCGCGGAAACCTTTAGCGAAGGGGTTATGGTCTATTTTCAGCTGAGTGATCTGTGTAAGGAATAGGAGGAGGGCAATGAGAGAATGTAGGCATAGGAAAAAGAGAAGGAGTGAGCAACCACCAAGAGAAACAAGAGAGCAGAAAGAGAGCCACTGACTAATAATTAATGAGGATAATATGCAATTTCTGCTCTTGTTGGAAAGAATTTTGAACCAGAAAGTTGGCACACCCCCACACACACATATATAGGGCTGGAATAAACATACAAACAGGGAGTGTGTGTCTTCTCTATGGAATACAGTAACTCTAACACAATGTATTTGAACAGCTGTTAAAGATCTTCTATATAAGGCACATAGTGGGGAGGACTGAGCCACAGTACTTAGTTCAGCTGAGGTCAGGTGACTCTTAGTTGAACTTAGCTACTGTATTGCAATGCTGTGCTTACACTTACAGTGGGAATGTAAATTAGTGTGTGTGAATCTTTGATGCATGCATGCATTAACCAAGGCTTTTTATATGAAACATGGCTCTGACATGAATCATTGAACTCTAGACCTCATTAAGATGCTACATAAGAGGTGTTGTTATGGTGCTGGGCCTCATTGTGCAAAGGTTACACTAAATAAGTGTTTAAATGAAATCAAATAACTTTGTGACATCAACACATCATTTCTTCTCAGTAAGATTTGATTAAAACTAAGAAAACAGAGCTGAGATTGACCATAAATGACACTTGATGCCATATTTATCATTTCATTCCTCCTGTGATTGATGTGACTTACATCAGCGTTCTGATAAGCAGTGACAGCGATGAACTGAGTCTCCGGGAAGATGAAGATCTGAGCTTTGGATAAAAGGAAGGGATCCTCGGTGCCGTCCTCTTTAACCTCCACGATGTGAAGACGAGGCTGGTACTTATGGAGCGACTGGAGCACAATCATCTGGAGAGGACATACAGGCCAGGACAGGGGCAATGACAATCTAATATCTGATATGATTATGTAACACAGTAGAGAACCACACAGGAAATGACGTGAGAGAGAATAAAGGTCTTTGGATAGATGGAACCTGGAGATTTTTTTAAGGCTTAATAAATAATCTTAAAACACATATGCAGATATGCACACATGGACGTTTTAGACAGAGAACAGGAAAAGGAACAGCACCTGTGCCACGTTATTGGTGCTGCCCTTGTTGTTGGTGAGCTTGAGTTTGCTGAAAGACACTTCCTGTCTCATCCAGTGAGCTCCTGTGTTGGGGGAGTCGGGATGCATGTACATCCTGTTGCCTGTAAGTACAAAAGCACACCATGAGCAACATGGACTAGTATTGTTTACAATTTTAGCCACTTTAAGAAGCATAAATCTAACATCAGGCATATCTGCAAACCAGCGTGTTTATTTGGATGATATAGATCAAATTAGAGTGCAGTAGGATGAATTTGAGTGTTCTCCCCGACATTCACACACATTTATCAAATGTTTTGGTGAAAAAGAGAGATAAGGTGTTAGCTTTTAACTTCCCCTTTACTTACATTATTTGCAATAAAAACTTTTTTTTTTGCAGCTGTCTATTCACAGTGCAAGCAGCATCGACAGCTATAGATATTGTGGATGTTACTGGCTGCTGATATTTAAAAAATATGTGGGAGGGTGAGAAGCTACTGCATATAATAATTTTCCATTTTCCATTCCTATTTTACCTGAAAAAACATATGCTTGGTCACTATTTTCGGCTAATGGGGACAATATTGTTTTAATCCCTTATATTTGCATTCTTATTGCAGGATACAATCTCAGCACCATGATTTTTCACAGTGTTACCACAATGACCTGCTAACCTTCTGTGAGTACACCACATAAGTGCAATATTAAATCTAATTGAGCAAAGTTGTCACCACAATTTCCACAACTGTAGCACATCAGCAGTCACCTTTCCACAACACCTGGCACATGTGTGACAACACCTTGCAGTTTCTCTCATTTATATAATTGTGGTTAGACTATCATCAATCACACACAAAATGTCATATTGGTTGAGCTGCTATTGTTTTTTTCTGAGGTGTGAACAGGAAGAAATAATCACATGGAGTACGAGACAGGGATGGGAACAGAAGTGAGAACCAAATTCATGTTCTTTACAGGACAGCAAACTGGAAATAAAGATAGAAAAGTCAAATCCAATGTAAATCCAATGTTTCTTTCCATCAATCCAAACAACTCCTTGTAGATAAAAGTGAGTGCTTGAAATTAACACTGATATATAACAGTATATGAAGGGTGCATTTGGTGACCAGTTTTGATGTAGTCCATCAAAGTGCTCTGTAAATATTTTTTAGATATTAGATAGTGTAAGGTGATAAAAGTAATAAAACAATCAAAACAGTGCAAAAATAATGATTACTGTGAATGCAATAGGTTTATAAATTTCTTATTTAGTTCAAGAAATAGGAGTATCCAACTCGTAAAGTACAGTTCAGTGTATCTGAAAAATTCCAAATCAACAAAATTGGAGATAACATGGTTTTCATAGGACAGCAGCCATGTGGTGATTGAAACTGCAGTTGAAACTATTTAGAAATTTCTGTACTGCAAGTCTTTGTTACTAATTGACATACACAGGGATACCAGTAGGTATACCAATAAGCTAATATTGATTTATCAGTTTAGTTCTAGCCGAAAGTTGATTCTCCATCATTCACCATCAACAAAGTCAACTTTATGAGATGAAGCAGATAACAAAAGACTTTTTAAAGAGGCGGAGTCCTGTCATGCAACCTACACTCTCATACTTACATGTCCTACATTTTCTGATAATAATAAATCCCCACCTTCTTATCTAACACCTACGTGAATAAATAATCCCTCCTTTCCCATTTTTGTGTATATATTCGTGCAATATATTTGGCTCCTTTGACATTTGAAAACATAAAAAATGAAATAAAATAACAAAAATGTAAGTTTAAACTAACCTAAAACAAATAGTGTGTTTGATCAAGCTAATAAAGCCGTTGATACCTTCTTAAGCTTTTTCATTAAACTTTTACCCAATCAAACTGAATCTTTTCTGTTTTGTTCTCACTACCTGCAGAATGAGGCTGCTGATTTCAACAACAGCAAAAGCAACATCAAAATGTCCACAGAAACCTCTCAGGCTACTTGTGCATCATGATGCACTCTTGGTTTCCCTACTGTATGCATGTAGGTTTGCTACAATATTGCTAAATAAACCACTTCCTCAAAATCGTCCATGTTGCATGCAATGAGCTAAACCTCTCCAGCTAATTGATTAACCAGAGGTTATGCGATCACGTATTTTGTGTCAGAAGTTGTTGTTGGAAGCCCCAAGAAGTAGTGTGAGCATGTATTTATCCCTCATTTATGGTTTCTGCTGCAGGTAAGTGTCAGATTTAAGAACACGTTACAATTTGGGTGAAGTTTCCTGTAAAAGATTGAGAAATAATCTGCGCAACTTTGCACATATACGGCTCCAAACTGCAGGGACGGGTGGCCGAAAAACATTCAAAATTAAACTCAAGTGATGTGATGTTAGTAAACTGCAAACTGCTTGCTCAACTAATCATCACTTCATATCAAGGGACGCCAAAAGGATGAAAGAAAGACCTGCTGTCGGTGAGTAGGAGACATTTTTCAGCTCTGTCAGCAGTTATGCATTCAAATTGTTTTGTACAAAAGTGTTCAAAATATACTTAAATTATCAACAAGTAAAAGAGCTCATCATGCAGATTGGCCCATTTCAAAAATAGTATATGATATTATTGGATATAATTATTAATGCATGGATGTGCTAATCATTTTAATGTTGCAGCTGGTAAAGGTGGAACTAGTTTTAACTATACTGCTGGCTGGATTTATCTATAAAAGTCAATAATAATTAATGTGTTGATCATATTTAAATAAAATGTAGTAATAAAAGTAAAGTAACAGTACAATCATTTTACTCTGACATGTAATGTAGCATAAAAATGGACTAACTCAAGTTTAGTACAAGTACTTAAGTACAGTACTTGAGTAAATGTGCCCTCTTATCTTTATATTAACAATATGGTTACATTTAGTTTAGTTTAATACTAATTTCACACTCTCACTTATACATAGTAATGTTAAAATGTATTTGAATTCTCCGATAGTGGAAATGTTTCCAAACATAAAGAACAGAAAACAATATACAGTAAAAGGACATTTCTTTAGGTTTCATTATGAGTCATGCTGTGAAATATACCTGGCATGTTACCCTCTGCTTTCCCACACTGGACCCACTTGCCGCCCTGGTACCTCCAGTGGTGCTGATCAGCCAGGACCACGTCCACATAGACGTTATAGTGGGCAGACGGATCCAGAACACTGATGTTGAAGCTCAGGAAGGGGAACATCCTCCTGGATAAACACACAGTGAAAGACAAGATTAATCGCTGTGTACATATATCTTTATTTTTGGATCTTATAGCTAACATTTGCATGCCTTGAAATTTAAATAAAAAATATTTTTGCATTAATGTTTGTGTCAAAAATATATAATTAAAGTTGCCAGTTGTTAAACTTTGGTTTAAATGAACAAAATAATAAAAATGTGAATATATTTGGACAATATTTCTCTTGACAAGTGCCAGCAGAAAAACAAAAACAAAACAAAACAAAATGCTCAAAGTGGATTTGACCTACTGAGATTGTGCAGTACCTTCTACTAGCATAAAGTATTATTGATGAACATAGGGACTGCAGACTTCTGCCTTGAAAGACAAGGAGTGATGAAAGAAATCCAGAGGGCACGCTAACAAATTATGCAAAGCCAAAGCAATCTATAGTGTCAAATGGTATATTTGTAAGAAAAGTAATTTCCAAATAAATGTAAATAATATTAAACGCACAAAGAATACGTTTATAAGAAAGAATCCATCAGTGCTCTTTCAGGACAATAATGTGTGGAACTAAGGCAGGGAGGTGATTCCCATTTGGACCTCGTGACCAGTAGAAGAGAGTAGGAGTAATGCATGAGAGGTTGAGAGGGACGAGTGTATGTGAATATTTAATGCCGATGTTAATAAAAGATGCCCCAGAAGCTGCTCCTGATTGCTGGAGGTTTACATGTTGAACTTATTTGGCTCACAGAGGGCTTCAGTGAGACGAGGTGACCAGGAGGTCAGGGCGTCCCCGGGCGCAGGGACGGTTAAACCAAGAGCAGGAGACGCACACAAATATAAGATAAGGACACCAAATGCACAAACCACATATATGACAGACAGACACTTGTGACAGTCTACAGTGACATCTTCATGTATAAACTAAACATCCAGAGTGCATATAATGTTGACAGAGATGCGCTTACTGTCTCACGATAACTAATCCTGCAGAGAAGTTCCCATTTTACAATATACAGAGCAAAGCAACAGTAAACACGTCATCACATGAAACTTACTATCGTTTTCTGGGCCGGACAGTCACATATTTGTCACCTTGTTTTCACAGTTTTTCTTTATGCATCACTTTGCAATGGTTTGACATTTTGGAACCACATGAGAAGAATGTGCGTGATTATGTCTGTACAGTGAAGCTACAGTTAGAAACCGGTTAGCTTAGCTCTGAATAAAGACTGGAAGCAGAAGTAGTCTGGCTTTGTACAAAGGTAAACAAGACACAGAGTCTACCAGCAGCTCTGTGAGGTTGTACTTTGGCACAGTGGTGCTTTGACCTAAATGCTAACATCGGTATGCTAAAATGCTCACAGTGAAACATGCGGATGTTTAGCAGGTTTTATCATGTTTATCTTTGTTTAGTATGTTAGCATGCAAACATTTTTGTTAGGGTTAGGGTTAGCACTTAAAGCCTCCATGGAAGGCGACCTGTAGATACTCTAAGGTGACGAAAACACAACTATTCTTATTTTCTGGTGATTATGCACTAGCAAAAACTAAAAATGTCAACCTCTTGGAGGAGCTTGAGTCACAGGATCACCAAAGTCAGTTCTCGGGAGCATGAATGTTTTATAAAAATCCAATAGTTATTGAGTTGTTTTAGTCTGGACCTGAAGTGTCGATTGACTGACATTACCATCCCATGATAGCAGCATGTTATTTCTTGTTTGTTTAATCACCACAATAACTGAAGTGTGAACAAGTGGTGGTTGGGGGGGGGTTACTGCACGTGTGGCTAGCCCCAGGCTAGCTGTTTCTCTCTGCTTATGCTAAGCGAGAAGTACTGTCTCCTAGCTGTAGCTTAATTTGTCACAGAACATATTCTATAAATAAAAAAACACTCCATGGTTTCTAAAGGCCAATAAATGACCGACTGAATAAGGACTGATTCATTCACTCAACTCATTCTATGCTCTTGTATATGAATCTGCACTGCAGTCTGGGTCTATATGAGGTCAGCAGTGTGTAGTTGGTGTTAATAAATGAGGGCAACATGTTTGGCATTTGGCCCAGCTGTTTAACACTGGCTAACAGCACCTGAGGCTATGGAGCATTTGGTAATGACGATGCCCTCCATCCTTTTGATTGGTTCAATGTGAAAAGTGAGTGTTATTTCAAATTAGACGTCCTGCCTGGAGTACTGTCTGCAGCACAGCCCCATGATTTCAAATTCAAGTTGAATAAAAGGATGTTGTTAAAGGGAACCGAATGAGGGCCTTGCCTTTTTTTGTTTCAGTGCAAATGAATTTGAAAGAGATTAGTGGTATGGAAGTGTTTGCTGTTTTTTTTTTATAGAGTGCATGGCTTAAATTAGTCATTATAACAGTGCAAAGACTGTACACAAAAAAGAAGAAAAAAAAACTTCCTTTTCAGAAACGCCTTCTTCTTTCTTTTCTAAAACGTTTTGGTGTGGGTGGAACAAATAGATAAGATCTTAAGTCTACAGTGTTTGATCACAGCTATAATTACATTATAGTTGACAGCCCTCTGGGTCAAAAACAAGAGCTAAACTTATAATTCAGTCTGAAACATATAAAGCGTGTCCAGAAAAGACCAGTGTCAACATGTCATCGCTGCCGTTTAGGTAAACTACAAAAAAAAAAAAAAAACTCGTTATCTCGTCCGGATGGAAATTTATCTCATTTAAATTCAGTTTGTCCTCCCTAAAGCAGTTCGGCCATTTAGTGGTGTAAAAGCAAGTGAGGTGTGTAAAGAGCCGATGCGATCTGTTAGCAGGCTAGGGGGACACCTGGAGGGCTCTGTCATTGTGTGTGTTGCCTCGATCAGTCTTCGTGTTTAAACAGCACAAAGGGCCAATTAAAAATATATTTCTCAAACACAATGAATTCATGAATAAGTCAGGATACCTGGTATTATAAACGGTTCATTCTTTATTACTTAACGAGAGCACATGGTGACTCTGAGTCTGAGTATCAAACCTCTGTGCCGACTGAAGTACGGCGTCCGTAGTATCAAAAACTGTCACGTATAGAAAGTTGGTATTGAATGTCGGAACAGATTCTTCTTTTATTTACTTCCTGATTTAAATAAAAAGTTTGCCAATTTGTGACTTTTTTATTGAAGTAATGCTCCTTTACTGCTACTTGTGTTTAGACAACATTTAAAGGATGATGCAAGTAATTTTCTATACTTTTCTAAATGTCAACAAATCCCACGACAAGAGCAAAACTAACAGTGACTAACAAGTATTGTGTGTACATCCAAAGCTTGGTATCTTCTTCCTCTGTGCCATAGAGCTCCATTGTTGTCCCAAACACTATTAAAAATACAACAGTGAGCTACACTGTTACACTGTGTGACATGTTCCTTCATTACCATGAATACACACACTTGTAGTTTATTTAGACTCAGTCACACACACATTGTCCTGCTGCTCCAAATACTCACTAATGCACCAAATGTGGATTAATCCGCCGCTGGAAATAGTCCCAAACAAATCTGTTTACTCCTGTTTTAAAAGATATAGCCTCGACACACAATACCCAGCCTGACACGACCTAAATGTACTAAGATATTAATGCTGCTATATTTTAAAAACACTTATCTTTCCCACTATATATTTGGTTTATTGAACTGAAGAAATGTCAACATATGCCTGAACTTTGCATGCTTTTAAAGGTTTCTTTGAATTTGTATTGCGCATTCTCCTAAAAAAAAGCTCCACAAGTCAGATTTTTCAAGAATTTATCTCAAGAAACACTCAAATATATCCTGGATTGTGTCTTTAAATAACGGCATTTTATGCTTGTGGACTGAGCACACACACACGTACAGTCACACACTCTTTTTACCCTTCAGTGGTAAGACAAAACCCTGCCATGAGCGGTCCCAGTTGGGTCTTTCTGGCTACATGGTGAGTCCAGTTTAACAATCAATCATAGTTCTCTGTGAAACAAAATCGTGGCAGCAGCTCTTTAGTGGCTTGCAAAGAACAGGTGAAAGGTCTCTTCTTCCACTGCAGAGTTTAATACAAGTGAAAACAGAAACTGTGCTGTTCAGCATATGAATGGATCAACCCACCTACACTGTGTGAGAGTAATCTAGAAAGTAGATGAGTAGTTGCCCCAGTGATATTGTCGATTCACTTATACTAGAGCCTTTTATAGGAAATCAGAACTTGGCAAGAGGGGGAAACCATAGAAAACACAACACAGAGGGGTATTTTCATGAGGAGGCGGCAGTCAGGCTTTTTGTACAGAGTTCATGAAGAAAAGCTGAAAAACACAAATCACATGCTAGTGTGCATGTATGGGCAGTGTGGTGGCGGTGTGGTAATGGAGCGTACAGTGGTTATGCTGATTTCTGACTACAGTTTGACACATGTAGGATTTTTTTTCTTTGCATGACAGTTACAGCCACAAATAAAACAGCTTTTGTTGCATTTTAGAAAATGCATTTGCCGTGGAGTGATACATGCACTTGCTTGGACACCAGTGGGAATCAAACCTGCAGCTCTACAGTTACCAGACAGACTCCCTAACCAACCTGCCAGTGTGCCAGTCTGATTCACTGGAAACTTGACAGTAATGACAAACGGCTGGTGCTCCCTCAGCCTGATCCAGGTGTATACGCACATGAATACTCATAACTGTATTTTTTTTTCTGACAAAATACCATAGAAACAGATGAGTGTGGTGAACCAGTAATACAGAGACAGTACTGCTGGTGGTGACATTTAAAAAAAATCAAAATAAACTGTGTGTGGATGTTGGGGAGAGATGAAGAGAGGGGTGGGGGTTGGGTAGACAGAGGGCGCAGGAGGGGAAACCGCGGGGGGGAAACGGAGGTTAGAGAAAGGGAAAAGGAAAGAGCAGAGGGTTGAGGGAAGGGAGGGAGGGGTGGAGGGTTTGTCCTGGGGATGCAAGGCAGAGGCTTGAGAGGAGAAGAAGAACTGGATATTCACCAGGGAAAGGACTTTTCTACATGAGCGCACCCGCTGATTCA